AATTTCTTTATTTGGTACAGGGTCTCGCTACACAGCTCAGACTCGTAGTGATCCTCCTGTCTCAGTCTCTGCAGAGCTGGGATTACAGGGCTGTACCACCATGCCTGACTTTGGTGGCTGCTACAGCACAGCGTGGTGAGGCACCAGCATTTGGTACTGGGGATTGAACCCAGGTACTTGCGCTTGCCAGGTAGGCACTTAGACCGCTGAGCTATCTCCCCAGCCCTTCCATATCTTGTTTTAGGACAGTATGCTTCTGCTACATTGCGTGGCCTGGCTTCACACCTGTAATTTTCTGCCTCAGCCTCTGCAGGAGCTGGGGTTCCACAAATGTGTCACTGTGCCTGGCTTCTTTCATTTTTTCTTTTCTTTTCTTTTTTTTTTTTTTTTTTTTTTTTTTTTTTTGTGGAACCGGGGATTGAGCTCAGGCCCTTACACTTGCCAGGGAAGCGCTTATTCTGCTAAGCCATCTCTCCAGCCCCATCCTCTGGCATTTCTGCCTTGTGTCCATTACAGTGCTGAAGCTCAGATACGAAGATCCCCCAAAAATCCAGATATTAAGCCTGTGGCCCCTAGCGCGGTGCTATGGGGTGAGAGCCTTTAGGAGGCGTCCCCTTGAAGGGGACTGTGGGACCTCGGCTGCTCTCTCCTTTTGCTTCACGGGGCAGGCAGCTTGCTGCGCCCCTCCTCCTGCCCCCGCTCTCTGGCTCACCTTCCAGAGGCCCCAGCCAGTGGGTGTGTCCTAGCTTGGGCTTGAACCTCCAAAGCTAGGAGACGAAATGTAGCTTTTCTCTTCATAAGTTACTTAACTCGGGTATTTTGTTAGAGAGCTAGAGAGCTGACAGTATTTAAACCTTTTCTATAATGTTTCCATGTTCTTGAATTCACATATTTTTTCTTTTGGTCTTTTTCGCTTTGCTTTTCAGTGTCCTGAAAAGCGTTCCTTAAGCTCAGAGATTCGTGTCTGTGTAGAGGCCACTAATAGGTTAATCGAAGACGCGCGTCGTTCCTTTGCAGTGGCTTTGCCTGTCGCGTTTCTCTTGCTTAGCGTTTCCGCCTGTCTGCCTTCCTACCTTTGCAATGCTGTCTTCTTCATCTGTCAGAGCTTTTAGTGCAGTCGTAGTTGTTTGACACCCTGGCCTGGCAGTTCCAGGACCTCCGCTGTCTGAACCTATTTCCATGGCTACCTCTGTCTCTTCGGATTGATTGTGTTTTCCACCTTTCGGTTGCCTTTTTTCACCTCGGTAACTGGACATGATGTAGTAGGAGCTGCTCTACACAGGGCTTCAGCAAAACCGTGGTAAGATGGGAGGAGAAGGGCGTGTCCCTCCATCCTCTGAGCAGGGCTCGGCGTCCTCCGCAGCCTGGGCCTCTGGGTGTGCGCTCCGTACACGCTTTTCAGTCTGCCCAGCAGATGGCTACCAGGGCCTGGAGTTGGGACTTCCCTTCTCCCAGTTTAGTTAGGCTTTGGTTAAATCCTTTCTCCTGAGGGCTGAAGAGTCCTCCGGCTTATGTCAAAAGTGTGAAGGGATTTTTCTCTAATCTTCACTCCAAGAACACGGGTGGCTGCCCTGCAGTTTTCAGCTTTCGGTTTTGTCCACGCTGCGGGAATCTGGGCATCCACTAATTGCATTTTGGGCCTCGGTACCCAGCACTGGTTCCCATAGAGGTTCCTGCTTCAGTCTCCGCTCTGGGAATTGTGACTCTCCTTATTTTTCTGCCTCTCCAGTTTTAGGGGCTGGAGCTCCCTTTTCTTGTGGACTATGAAAGCTTGGTGATTTTTCAGTCAGTTGGGCTTTTTACTTGCTCTAGGTTGGAGTGGAGACTTCCGAGCTTCCCACACGCTGAACTGGAAAGCCTACTGTCTTTGAAACGCGGTGTGTACTACGGGCTGGCTATGGTTTGTGTCCCCCAAAGGTCACGCTTTTCATTTTAATTTAACTTTTGCTGCTATGGTTTGGGTGAGTGTCTCTCACAGGTCAGCGTGTCATGGTTTGGACCCCAGGGTGGTGTTATTGGGAGGTGGTGGAGGCTTTAGCAGGTGGCACCTAGATGGAGGTCCTAGGGTCATGGAGGTCATGTTGAGGAGCACCGTGGGGTCCCAGGCTGGCTCTAGACGTTTTCTCCACCTCATGTTCTTACCATAATGTGCTTGCCAGAGGCCCAAGGTAATGGGCCCACTCAGTCTTGGACCAGAATCTCTATGAGACAACCTTTTTAAAACACAGTAATTGCCTCTGGCATTTCGTTACAGTGTTTGAAGGCTGACTAACATACTCGTTGTGAACTGTGTTAAAAAGATAGAGGCAGTCTGACTCTGATTAAGGTGGTGCTTTGGGGATACAATTAAGATTAAATGAAGTCATCATGACTGAGTGAATCCTGGTGGTTTATAAGAGGAGGGGTGAGAAATCAGAGCACAGACGTGTGTCTCCCTGTCTCTTGCCATGTGATGCTACATCCCACTTCAGGCCTCTGCCCAGACAAAGGCCGTCATGTGGGCCCTTGGACATACACAACAGAGCGGTGCACTAAATAACCCTCTCAGGCTTTTTTGGTTGTTGTTGCGTGGGCCATCATTACCCCTGTGGCTCCAAATTTCTTTCCTTTATAAAGTTGCCCAGTTTTGATTAAAACTCTGCATTCAGTGTTAAATCAGGAGATATTTTATACTCTCTATTTTGGGGGGCACTGAGTATTTAGGGTGTACTTGGCACTTATAGCATACATGGGTTACAACTAGCTGCCTTCTCACTGCCGGATTTGGCTTGTGGCTCCGACACTGGAGAGAGTACTTCTGCTCCGTAGCCTGTTTGCCTGGGGATTGGGTGGTTGGCTGTTGCCTTGGGCACAAGCCTTTCCACCTGAGGTGAACTAGCTTCTCCAAAGTAGTGGGCGATCCAAGTGCCCTGTAGAGTTTTCTCTACTTACCCTAGATCTTGACTCAGCAAATATTTAAAAAAACACACGGGATTCACTATATGCTTTTTTTTTTTTTTAATTTGTGGAACCAGGGATTAGAACTCAGGCCCCTGTGCTAGCCAGGCAAGCACTTACTCCACTGAGCCATCTCTCCGGCCCCTACTATATGTTTATTAACCTTGAATAATAAAGACATTCTTTGTTATCCCAGAGTTATTTAATATTTAAAATAGGGTCATCTCCTCCAAGATCCTGAATCTTTTCTTTTTGCTATTAAACTTAATCTACATTAGTAAATTTGGGTGTAGAACTTCCTCAGGCTTCTTGCTATTTCTGTGTGTCCATTTGGCCTCTGTAGCGTCTTCATTTTGTCACCAACAACAGGTGGATTAGCACCCTCGGCCCAGGACAGCCAAGACTTCCCAACTGTCTGGTGTTCTGATTTAGTGCCTGCCTGCTTAAAGAAGTGAACCAAAGGTCAGTCTCAGACTCATGTCACACACAGGCCTCCTACTTCCCTTGGGACAGAGAAAGTGAGTGTCTTCCTGCCTCGCACCTCAAGCCTACATGACTAATGTTGTGTGGGGGTGCAGCGGGAGTGTTTCTCACCTGGGATTGCTGGTGCTTGTGGAAGAACTCGGTCATGTTGAAGTCGTCCAGGTTGACGAGAAGGTCTCGCTTACACATCTCACAGGTCTTCACGGCACTTAGGTCTGCTCCTTGAATTAAACAAAGAATTATATGTGAGAATAGATCTGAAGTGTTCTCACCATGCCTACACACACACACACACACACACACACACACTCACACACATACACACTCACATGCACACACAGGGAATTGTATGTACAGATACCCCGAGTTCTGTTTGTGTTGGCACTTTGGACAGGTGGCATTCTGAGACTCAATGTGAGTGTGCTGTGAATTTTGAGCTTCGGTGACCTTCACTTAGAGTCTGTAGAAAATGGCCTTGAATCTGCAATCTGAAAATCTTTCCTTTGTAGTCATTCATTATGCGAGCTTCATGTAAGTGAAATCCCATGACTTTTAAAGAACAAGTCTTGTTTCTACTGAAACATGAACGTAATGGTTCATACAACTGGAATTGTTACATGGAAGGTAAGAGCCTACAACCCAAGTCTTAGAAAAAGAGTAAATGCTGGGCCTATTCTTTTTCTTTGTTTTAGACCTAACATAGATCCAGGTCAATAAATTCATAAGGATACGCTATCTTCAGTGAAGGGCTTAAAAATCTCCATTTACTCCCACCCAGGTGCCATGTCCCCCTGAGAAAGGTTACCGTAATATCTAGGGCCAGCACTTAAGCCCGGGAAGAGAGGCTCGAGAAGGCTTCCTGGGTTGCTGCTTTTATAAAAACCTGCATTTCTCTTTCTTTCTTTCTTTTGGTATTTTTAGGGAAGGGTCTACAGGGTGTTCAGGATCTCACTGCTAGATGGGACTCGTAGAGCTCTGCCTGTTTACAGCCTCCCAAGAGCTGGGATTACAGGCGTGTGCCACCACGCCCAGTCTCAAGGGCGGGGCCGGCACGGCAGGTTCGAACCCCCAGCTCCTGCGCCTGCTTGCAGGAGCTTTAATCCACTGAGCCATTTGGCCGGCCAAAACCTGCATTTCAGAGCAGCGCTTTTTCTGCTCTTACTGCTCCGCAGTGCAAGGACAGGAGCTGCAGGGCTGTGGCTGCTCCGCCTCAGCCGCTCACTGTACACTTTCCTCTAGGGCAGTTGCTGCATTTTGGCTGATGTTTACTTTATGATTAGAGAACTTAGCAGTTATTGCATCTATTTAGTAATTAGGGCCTGTGTAGGTTTACACTCCAGCCCTATTTCCCCATTGGAGACATAAAGAAAAAGTAAATAACAGAGACTTTTAAAAGACAAGGATGAGTATTAATTCCTTATCTGCATTTTTTTTCCCCCAGAACCGGGATTGAACTCAGGCCCTTGCGTTTGCCAGGCAAGAGCTTATTCCACTGAGCCATCTCCCCGGCCCCTTTATCTGTACTTTGTTTGCCTGATGTTTCTTTTTTAGCATCATTCAGCAATGTTTTTGGTTCCTGAACGTCTTGTGTGTCTTCCAACATAATTCTGCTGAACATACTTGTACTAGCACAGGCCTTTAACCTCATTTGCACGACACATTTCATGGATTCTTTCTTTATTCTTTGCAAGATGTTTTGTTGGACCAAATTTCTAAGATAAAACCTTGTACGGCAGAGGTATTAGGGACTAAAGTCCACTTTTTTGTTTTGTTTTGCAGGCAGTTATTGCTTGCTACAAAGATCACATTTAGGCATCTCGGGATTAAGCCTACACTTCTCACGCTAGGCAAAGATGTGGACATGGAAGCAGAGCTTGGAGGACAGGACAGGGGTGCCAGGTGCTCATTCTCTGAGTCCATGGGGTGAAGCTCCAGGGCTTGCAGGTGGCCTGCAATAGTGACAGTGTGGTCACAGAAACAGGAGTTGGTCGCGCAGTACGATTTGCAGAGAGGCACGCCTGACAAGCAGCAGTTATTTTCTAATTGAATTGCTTGCATTGGTGCCTTCTTTTTCTTGTTAAAGTTGTGTGCATCGCTGGGCCCATGTTTTAAAGGAAGCTCTTCTCTGCCAAGAAAACTACAGCTGATCTACCAGCGCGGCTATATTTAGGCTCTAACTTCCCCGGGGAGCTGGGAAGGAGCTTCACACCCAGTTATAAGATCAAGCTGACAAAATCAGCACATGGAGATCTCTCCATCTCGTGTAGGTCTGCAAAACCAGATCAACATTCTTATCCCGCTGCAGGGGCTTTGCTTGGTTTCCTAGGTGACACCCATCCTCCTCCCCCCAAATATAAGTAGAACTGTGTGGGTGGGGGGTCTCTCACCGCCCGGTTTCTACCAAGGCCTACTGGGGCTCGAGGCTACTGCACACTGGGTGGGGCTCAACCCTGCCTTGCCTCCTTCTTCCCGGGAGGTGACCTTCGGTCTCTGCTCAGGCCTCAGGAAGGAGCAGCAGTCACTTGCACGCATTTCCAGGCTTCCTCTCTCGGACTGACACATTCCTGTCCTCCCCACAGTCTGAAGGCAGCATTTCTGCAGAAGAATCCTGAGCCACTGACAAGCTTCGGAGGCCCACCCTGCGGCGCCTCAGATTAATTACACGTCGTCAGCGTCGCAGCCTTTGCCGCTCTTCCTTCCCCACCTACCTGATGTTATTTTCGTTTTCAGCCACTTCTCCAAGCACTCTCGGTGAACAAGTCGAAGGCTTCCCACGCAGCTGCAAGGCTCCAGGAGGGGGTTGGCCGGGGAACCCCCGGCTATTTGACAGATGCGGCACACGTCTCCCTCCTCCTCTGAGTCCTCCTCCAGGAGACTAAATGGAAAACAAGCGGTCGTGACCAAGAGTCTCCACTGTGCAGTTTCTGCAAATACACTGTTTTTCAGGACGTTGGTGGGAGATGAGGGCGCTGTGCTCCCAGGCCTTCCTGCTGGGGCGCCTGGGGCTCACCCACTTCTTCCTGGGATGGAGGGGCATAGGGAAGAATTCTTCCACGGGGAGTCATTGACAATCAGTGCCTGAGTTCAGGCTACTCTCGTTTCTATGTGTGTGAGCTGACTCGATGAATCGAGAGCGGGGCCTGGATGTGGGGGCACGCTTACAATCTCAGCCCTACAGGAGGCTGAGGCCAGAGGATTGCAAGTTGGGGCGTGCTGGGCCACTGAGCCTTAGTACTTTGAATGGGTGAACGACAAATAGATTAACAAATAGACATAAACTTAAATAGATATAACAAATAGATATAAATACATTAAAAATAGATATAAACATAAACAAATAGATATAAACTTAAGTTTTAAAAGGACTGAGGGTGTAGCTCAGTGTGAAGGCAGAGGTTGGTGAGCTGGTGTGTTGGTGGCCGTGTGCTCAGGGCCCTGCGCTCCAGGCCTGTCCCTTTACTCTCCCAAGACTCGGCTTCCTCTGTGCATGCCGTGAGACATGGCTTGTGGTGGCATCCACACTGTATTTGCACAGGGCTGTGGGCAGCCGGGTGCAGGGCGATGGCGCGCCTGTGTGCAAGCTGTCTGTGCACTGGAGCCTGGCGAGGCTCGTGCCCACGGCCTCCGTCGGTGCGGGGCAGGTGCACCACACACCGACTGTGAGCTCTCGGCAGAGGCACAGCCCTTGCCAACAGCTGAGGTCCACATTCCGGAGCACAAGTACTGGGCTGCGATCAGGGCGGACTCAGTGGGATGTAAGCAGGAATGTGGGTGGCAAGCGCGGCAAGCGCAGCGTGGCTGGCCGGTGCGCTGGTCGCGGGGTTTTGAGACGCTGCCAGCCTGGCTTTTTTAGACTCCTCACAGGGCTGGGGGCTGTCTGCTCAAGGAAAGGAGACGGCTGGAGACAAACGCAAAGCAGAGGGCAAACCGGGCACTGCTGTGGATCTAGAAACGTGTGCTGGGCTGCCCCAAAGGGCAAACACCATGAAGAGAAGCAGGGTTGTAATCTTCCCTTAGGGCTAGATGGAGTAAGTGCGAATATTCTTAGTACTGAGATTTTAATTCATTTCAAGATAATGTTCACTGTTTTCATAAATAGTCTAGAGGGCCTGGGAGATAGCTCAGAGGCATGAGCACCTGCCTCACAAGCACAAGGTCCCAAGTTTGATCTCTTGTACCACTAAATAAATAAATAAATAAATAAAAACGCACATAAATAGTCTAGAAGAACAAGTATACTGTGAAGTAAATGCCTCCGTGGACGAAGATGAACTGTAGGGAAACCTGAAAATAGCTAAGAAAATTGCAGAACTTTAGGGAAGGACAAGACAGCCTTTGGAAACAAGTGCTCTAGATCAGTGGTTTTCAGATGAAAATGAAGACCGTGGGGTTCGCCTGCAGGCACATTCAAGACAGATGCTGGGCTCTGGCCCTGGGCATCCTGGTCCGGGTCTGAAGACCACTGTCCTAAGCAGTGCAGTCTGGGCTCTGCCCTAAGTGGTCTGTAGTTTGTGGATGCCTGGCTCACAACTCCACCTTCTCTCTTGTTTTCTTTCTTTTGGTGGAATCGGGGATTGAACTCAGGCCCTTGCACTTGCCAGGGAAGCTCTTATTCCACTGAGCCATCTCCCCAGCCCCAGAAAAGAATAAAGTATGAAAGATGTTAATACCAAGGGCTGATCAGGTAGCTCAGCAGACTAAAACTCCTGCTTAGGACAGTGGCTGGGGTTAGATCCCCAGTGTGCTGTGCCAGCCTCGCTCCCGGGGTGCGCTGAGATGGCTGATGCAACTGGGCATAGTGGTGCATGCCTGTAATCCCAGTGCCTTGGAAGGCTGTAAATAGGAGGATCACTGCAAGTCCAAGCTACATGGTAAGATCCTGTAGACTCTGTCCTAAATACATTTTTTTAAAAAAAGATGTTAATATCAAGTTTGTTGTTTTTGTTTTTGTTTTTTGTGGTACCAGAAATTGAACTCAGTACCTTGCACTTAATATGAAGTTTTTAAAGCAAATATGCAAACATATATATATATATATATATGCTTTACATAAGTTATATCTGGCTAGGGAGATAGCTCAGTGGCATAAGCTCGTGCCTGGCAAGCGCAAGGTGCTGAGATTGATCCTCAGTACAAAAAAAAAAAAAAAAAAATTGTTCTACATAAGCTATATCTATATGTCCATATACTAATCTATATCTCTGCAGCACATTTGTAAATATTGAAGATGTATTGGGGCACAAAAATACAGATCACATCTTCTGAGATCACAATGTGATTTTTTTGCCCATCCTAATTTAAATAAAAGATAAGAGTAGAATTATATAAAATATTTTTAAAAATCCACAGATCTATAGCCCATAAAAGTGAACGTTCGTAGACAGACTGAGAGGGACATCTTATGCCAAAGAAGGCTTTCCCACCAGTACAGGAAGGATAAGTGATTGTGGGCCAGCTGACCAAGGGACATTAGACCCTCACCTACACCATATGCCAAAATACATTCCATATAATACAGGCAGCTACTGTGTGTTACAGGTGTACCGTGGGGTAGGCACCCTATAACACACATAAATATTTAAAACATGATTTAATTTTCATGCTCTTTGAAGAATGAATAGGTACGTATTTTTCTGAATAGATTTCTAGAAATGAAAGAACTCAACCCAAATCATAGTGAATAGTTGATAGAATCAGGAATTAGATCATAAGAAAATAAAGCCCATATTTT